GAGCGCAAATGTGGCTAACATAGAAGTCACCAATGGGTGGACGACTTAAGACTACATAAATACTGAGTACCACATCAATATTTGGTGTCTCACAAATATTTGGCACTTCTTGGTCCTTTCCTCTCTTCCTATCTCCGTGTAGCACATGAGCTCTCCTTCCTTTTCCATGTGTAACATGTCTTCCAGGCAACTACTTTATGATTTTTGGTATAAATACAGCTTTTGAATTATGTCTGTATCTCACAAAATTCCTTGCTTACCTATTTAACCCTTAGAAGTTTCTTACTTAGGAATCACCTACTTAACATTTTTATGAGGTTTTATCCATCCAATTTGTTGGTCTTGTCTTGGTCCTCCATGGCAGAATTTAATAGCAGAATGTTCTCAAATACTAGAGCAAACACACCTTACACACAGAGGTAGAGGAGTTCCCTCAGGAGAGTGGGGCCCCATTCCAAGCCTGAGCTACATATCTGTACATGAGAAATCGACTTTTATCTAGTTTATCAGTGACTACTTTAGGTTGTCGGTCACTTCCAAGGATATCTAATACTAACAGGTGTACATAAAAGACACTCCTTAAGAGGATTAATGGACCAGATTTGCTGTGCTAGCATTCCTTTCTGCATTTCAGTAAGATCAGATCCTATATTTTAGTAAAGCACAGCACTAGGACTTCTACAAAATCCCCGTGAACCAAAGATGTGACATGGCTAGATGAAAGTATAACTATATAGCCCCGGTTGTTAACTATAGTCCATAAATACAAATTCTGGGTGTCTTTTTCTGCACATCAATTCTTCTCTCCCTCTTGCGGTCTCCCCTTTCCTTATCATAGTCTCTTACTCCACCTTCCTTCCAGAATTGCTTTTCAAGATTAAATCCTTTCAGCTTTGGCAATAGAAAGAGGCTTACCCCTTTCAGCCTGTGCGGTTACTTCTCGGCCTTTTGGCTCAGATCAAGTGTAAATGTCCATTCTAGACTGGGAGCCCTGTGAGGTTAAGGATTGCTTCTAGCCTGCTCACTGACCTTTCCCAATTACCTGTCACTTTCTGAAACTTAGGAAGCTCTCAATACATGAACGAATAAACCCGGTCCTAGTCCTTCCACTCAACACGTCATTTAGGGAAGAATTTGATCTATGATCCTAGAATACTCTGCACCAACCACCACCCTCCCTGCCCCACACTCCATGACCCAACAGGGAAGTGCCTAGAAGGGTGGACTTCTCAAAAGTGAGAACATAACGGAAGTACTGTGGTTGAGATTAATCTCAAGGTATTTTGTAAATCTATAACTGACATTGTATTGTTAAATGATTCCTATCAAGCCTCTTAAGGGAAGACTACCCAAGCCTGGCTTCTGTGCTGGCCGCTGAAGACATTTCCCCAACTGAGAGAGGCATTGCTCTCAGGCTGCTTGCTGCTGCTTTCCCCTTCTCCTTCCTCTTATAAATCCTGTTTTAACCTTTCTTCAAAGAAGCCTGAATGCCTCTGTTACTTGCAGAATAAATAGCTACAGTCGAGTGAGTTATTCTTCAAAAGATTTCTTTTCAGTCAAGTCCCCCCCTCCACCCCCTTCCATTTACTAGAAAATTATTTTCTCACGCTATCAGGTAGACATTATCCTATTGTTTTCCACTAAAACAAGTCTCACACAGCCCCACTAAGCACAGTACGCTCTCTAGACAAGCTTATCTATAAAGGATGCCCAGGATGTATTCAACTCGTCCGGACAATCCAATTTCTCAGCTACAAGCCCTGGAGAAAGTTCTGGCCCAGATGAATTTCATTTTCTGAAATCCTAAACCAAAAGGTCAGCAGCTAAAACTGCATTCCCAGTTTTCAAACAAGTTTTCTTGCTTTGCACTTGCTAGTCTTCTCTGTTCCAGTAAAACAGGCTACTGAGAAAACAAGGATGGGAACGTTAAGGATGAAGGAGCTAGGCATTGTAACTCTGGCACAGGTTTTGCCTAATATTAAAAAGATTCAGTATTAAAGCTCTTTATGTGAAAGAGTGAGTGGCTCTGAAAAGAGCCTTTGGGTTAGATTAGCTGAAGACGCTTACTTGGCAAGTTCATTTGGAGCTGGTGTACTTGGTGACGGCCTTGGTGCCCTCGGACACGGCGTGCTTGGCCAGCTCCCCGGGCAGCAGCAGGCGCACGGCCGTCTGGATCTCCCGGGACGTGATGGTCGAGCGCTTGTTGTAATGCGCCAGGCGGGACGCCTCGCCCGCGATGCGCTCGAAGATGTCGTTGACGAACGAGTTCATGATGCCCATGGCCTTGGACGAGATACCCGTGTCGGGGTGCACCTGCTTCAGCACCTTGTACACGTACACCGAGTAGCTCTCCTTGCGGCTGCGCTTGCGCTTCTTGCCGTCCTTCTTCTGCGCCTTCGTCACCGCCTTCTTGGAGCCCTTCTTCGGGGCCGGAGCCGACTTGGCGGGCTCGGGCATGGTAAAGTTCTGACACCGAAACCTAACAGAGTGAAAACTGAGCGCAGGGTTGGCCTACTTTTATATGGCTTGTATGCAAATAGCGGCTTAATCTGTCTTAATGCCTGATTGGAGCAAATCAGCCAGTAGAAACATTTTATGCAAATCAGGAGAATTCAAATCTACTTTTTGATTGGCTGTTTATGTGGCAACAACTCCAGATTCTTTTCTCCATCAGAAAAAAGTATTTTCAAACTGCAAAAGTTTAATGTCTCGTCAGTAGTACCTATTTATGAGCCTTGCGTCTCCCTAGATCCCACCTAAAGAGACAAAACCTATACAAATTTATGATCCTGTTTTCCTGCCAAATTGCAGTTACCCGGATACTAAATGAAGGAAAGAGAACACAAAAATTAGCTAAATATTTAAATGTTTTCAAAATTATGCCATGGCATTCCCAGTTTGATCAAAGTTGGCAAAATTTAAGGTTTCAGAATCAGAGGATCGTCACATTTAAATAGCGGTGCGATTTTTATGTTCCCTAAAAACAGTGTCTGTAAGTGTTGTCTGTGTTTGTTAGTGTGTTCCGAGTTATGGGATAGGGTGTTTCCATTGCTAAAATAAAACGTTTCTTCAAAGTCATAAGCTTTGAGAAATGATAAAGGACGAAACTGGACTGGGCCAATCACGTCCAAGGACAGAGCTTCTGAACTGTAAATTTTCATTTTCATCTCTTCCCAAATTTAATCCCCAAAGAAGGTGATTAAAACAAAACCAGCTAAGGAACTGTAAAACAAAATACAGGCTGGGTAATGGACGCAGAATTATAAGTGAGAAGATGTCTTTCAACATTAGACTTTCTCAAGTGAGTCCTGGTAGCCAATCACAAGCCCATCAAGTTACTTAATTCACGGCGCGGAATTTGAAGATTCGGACCAATCAGGAAGACGTTGCCTTTATAAATAAGAGCCGGCGCAAAAGCATTACCAGTTGTAAACCGTGCTTGCACTGTCTCGTCATGGCTCGCACGAAGCAGACGGCCCGCAAGTCGACCGGCGGCAAGGCCCCGCGCAAGCAGCTGGCCACCAAGGCGGCCCGCAAGAGCGCGCCGGCCACCGGCGGCGTCAAGAAGCCGCACCGCTACCGGCCCGGCACGGTGGCCCTGCGCGAGATCCGGCGCTACCAGAAGTCCACCGAGCTGCTGATCCGCAAGCTGCCGTTCCAGCGGCTGGTGCGCGAGATCGCGCAGGACTTCAAGACCGACCTGCGCTTCCAGAGCTCGGCCGTCATGGCCCTGCAGGAGGCGTGCGAGGCCTACCTGGTGGGGCTCTTCGAGGACACCAACCTGTGCGCCATCCACGCCAAGCGCGTCACCATCATGCCCAAGGACATCCAGCTGGCGCGCCGCATCCGCGGGGAGAGGGCGTAAGTTGTCCCGAAGGAACGCAAACTATCAACCCAAAGGCTCTTTTCAGAGCCACCTACAATTTGTTTGAAGAGCTGTACCGCAACAGAACAGAACCTCCGCACTCTCCGTATCCCCCTTGCCACCGCTACTGTCAGGTAGGGGCGGTGCCAGTGCGCGTTCGCGGGCTGCCCACCTCGCTACTCCTGCCTCCGCCGGAACACTCGCCAAACCTCGCGATCCTTCCCTTGACAACCAGTGTGAATCAGGCCGATTGCGCGGCGTTCCCCAGCAGAGGGTGTTAAACAAGTCTTGGCTTTTGCTTGGAGCCGTCCATATAGTTGAGTGTATTTAAAGTGGCTCATAAAACCACCGTGGACTTGGGTACTTTCAGCTGAACTACAAAATAATGTAGCGACAAGTTATAATATCGAGTCCTGAAAACAATGGCTCCCGGTTTGGGAAATCTACGGAGCGTGCTGTCAAAACCTGACCCACAGCTAGCCAGGGCCAATCTACAAGGGCAGCAGTTCATGATACATTCAGCCAGCCATATTAATACGTAATTAAGACTGCAACTTGCCAGGAATCCAGGCATGGATTTCCACATTTCATTCTGATAGGAGAAAGGACGGGTCCTTGAGCAACCTGGAAAGCATCCTAGGGGGTTTACCATGTTTGGTGGGTCTTGCGCACACCGGTGTTCAAGACCCCACGCGGAGTGGTGCATGAGAGCAGTTTGGTGGCCATCCATTTCTTTCTTGACTGAGCAATACGTCCTGTAGTTACAGTACTCAACTTTTCTGTACTGGGTTCCACAGAATTTGAGACCCAGCTTGGAGGGGTACTAGCAGCAGCCTGTCTGGTACAGCTGGGCAGGGCACCACTACCAAACGTGGGGCCTGGAGTAATAGCTGAGTATATGCACACCAGGAATTCAGAGCTTGTAGCTGCTCATAACTAAAAAGTCAAGATTGTGCAAAATGTGTCTGCACTGTCCTTGTGTGAGAAACATGATGTAGTTAGTCGTTAAGGCAGAACCCAGCCCTTGCACAGGTGGTGGTGCATAACCCATTATTAATCCTCAGAGAACCAAGGAGGCAACAGCTCCCAACGTTTCCTCCAACAAATTCAGAATCCTATGACAAACCCTAGAGCCATGGAGGATTCGTCCATTAGTCAGGTTTCACAGACATTAATTGTGGGAACGCCTAGCCTCATCCCAGGTTTATCCCTCGCTGTGGGGATTACTAAACACTGGAGGCTTTTCGGGAACTAAGTGAACAGCTCTGCACATCAGTGAAAACACAAGTCCCATGGCAGGAACCACAGGACAGCCATACCAGCAGTTTATTCAACAAACATTGGAGGCTCTTGGTGGGATAAATCCTTAGCTACAGAACCCAGAAGTCACATTTCAGAAACAACTGAATATGTTGCTTGATGCAATATTTTGGAACCTTGAAGCAAACTTGCACATGATAATAGCAACACCATGTGATTTCTTTGAGACTACTGAAAGAGTTATAAGGCGCCCAGGCTTCACAACAGTACTTTTGCATTTTAAAAAACGTAATTTTAAGGTGGAATTCAGGAAACACGAAACAAAACTGGCAAGGACAGGGTGGGTAGGGACACAAAACAAAAATGTTGTACATGAAAGGTCATAACAGCTTTATTTGCAAAAGCCCTAAATTAGAAACAACTTAATATCTTTCAATGGGTGAATGGTTAAATAAGTTTTCATGCATCCGTGCATGGAAGCCTACTCAGCAACAAAAGGGAGGCTAGTGATACACACAACGGGGATGGATCTCAAGGGCATCATGCTTAGTGGAAAAAAAAAAAAAAACTACTGGGGAGGAAAAGTTTTCCCTTGTAGGTTCTTTGGCTGTAAATTGATATAAAAACAGATTAACAGGAGAAAATTTTAATTATGTGTGTATTGGAGCCCCATAAGAATATGAGACGCAAGGATAAGTCTGTCGGTAGATATTTATATGCCCCCCTGAGTTAAGAATGGGATAGGGACCTGGGGCTTCAAAGGGAGAGAGGGCAACCTACAGATGGGTCTTTCAGATAAAAATTATCTCTGGTAATAGCTCTCTTTCTGGGCCAGGTCCCCTATCTAAAATTTTCTAGGTAGTTAAGGGAGAGGTAAAAGTTTTTCTTGAGTTTGCTGGGTCTTGATTGCCTTCAGTTCAAAATAACCCACATGCCAAAGCAGCACATTTTGGGGTCACATATATTGCTCCCCCTCAAAGTCATTTTCAAAAGGTCACATATTAAATTATTCATTTAGATAACATTCTCAGAATGACACAAACCAGAGATGGATAACAGATTAATGATTGCCACAGGACAGGGAAGACGTGTATGGATGTAATATAAAGGGGTAACAAGGAGTTCCTTGGTGATGTTGGAAACGCGTTGTATCAGCGCTGCAGTGGTATTTATGTGAATCTATATACGTGGGGTAAAATTGCATAGGGCTACACACACACAAGACCCTAAGAGTTGAAAAGCCCTGTTGTCTAGGTAACAGTATTTTGCCAATATCAATTACCTGGCTTGGATATTGCAATATACACTGGTTATGTGGGATGTGACCATTAGAGGGAATTGGTTCAAGGGGCTCTGTGTACTACTGTTGCAACTTAACAACAAGGTAAACTTTGCAACTACTGTTGCAAAATAACAAGGTGAAAAAAAAAAGCTGCTGGACAACTCTTTAACAATTGCTACTTTGCATTGCTTGGGATTCCATGGTTTGTTTAAGAAAATAATGTGATTTTTTTTTCACAAACAGCAGTTTTTTTGCTTTCTTCTGGCTGTTCTAGTGGTGACATGTCCATCGGGCTGATGTTTGGTTTATTCATGTTGGTATGTGACGTTTTACATCTTGCTGCCCCTGCCTCAAAAGTAAATTGAATTTCAGAATTTGATATTCCTAATCTCAAATTTTCTGATGGGGTATACTTGGCCAAGCTAATCCATGCTCTTTTAGAATACTTTACTTGGTACATCGTAAGTACGCAATAAAAATCACTTCTTACTTGAAAATTCTGTTTATTCTAAGGACATCATTCATATTTTCTTAAAGCTAAACTCCCACGTAACTAGCTCAACACATATATTTTTCATTAGAGTTCACGACAGCTTTGCTTGTGTTTCACGCACTAAGCCCAGAAAAGGGCTCTCCACCTTTTGTCCTCCACATGAGAAAAACAGGGCCTTAGCCCCTGACAATTTACACTTTTCCTCTGCAACCCTTCATTGTTGAAATAAATATGCTTAATTTGTATCGATAAAGCACACAGTACATACTAGTGTTATATTGGAAATGTTTTGAAAATCCTTCCATGCTCTTCAGTCTTATATTTAAATACTTTGTTTTTAAGAACGGAATTCCTGGGCGATATGAATTTATTGTTCACGACCTAGATGCCAGTCATTTTGCTTATAATTACTCACTTACCAACAACTACTCTTCCTTCTTACTGCAAGTCTCTTGAAACTCAAGTAGATAAACAGACAAGTTCAATGTTACAGTTTGAAAACTGCCACTCACTGATCCAAACCTGAACCCTGGCCTGGTTGCTCCACCGTATATTGACGAACTCCTTTGTTTCTTGGGATCTGGGCTTGTTTAAATTCCAGCGTAGCAAACGATCCAAGAATATATATGGAAAAGATAAATCTTTAAACACATGTACATATATACGAAGGAGGTCATTTCTTTTGTGTACATGTCTGAAACTTGTGTTTAGAGGTTCTTATTTTCTAAATACCAGTAAATCTCCCTACCCCGTGTCTACTTTAGGCCTTAGAAGCAAGGGCGCGAGGACTTCGAGTGATTTCCTAACTTTTCCGGTGTTTTGGTTTTCACAAAGTTTTGTACAATTGTTACAAAAGGGGCTGTAGCTCCTTCGACTTATTAAGCTCCTTCGACTGTTATTCCCAGTGAGTACTTACTGTGTCTAGCCGCGGCAAGGGCGGGAAGGGCCTGGGCAAGGGCGGCGCCAAGCGCCACCGCAAGGTGCTGCGCGACAACATCCAGGGCATCACCAAGCCCGCCATCCGGCGGCTGGCCCGGCGCGGCGGCGTCAAGCGCATCTCCGGCCTCATCTACGAGGAGACCCGCGGGGTGCTCAAGGTGTTCCTGGAGAACATGATCCGGGACGCCGTCACCTACACGGAGCACGCCAAGCGCAAGACGGTCACGGCCATGGACGTGGTCTACGCGCTCAAGCGCCAGGGCCGCACCCTCTACGGCTTCGGGGGCTGAGCATTCCCATCTCCCCGCCGGAACGCTGCGATTCTCAACCAAAGGCCCTTTTCAGGGCCACCTGCTCTTTCTACTAAGGAGCTCTCACTTGCCCCTGGGTGCTGCTCTGTGGGGGTGGGGTGGGGTGGGGTGGGGGTGGTTTGGTACAAACGTTGAAACTTCATGGGCACAACTCTCTCCTAATGCTGTTGGGTGTCCAGAGCAGCCTCTGCGAACGTCGTATCGAACACTTTCAGGATCGACAGGCGGGAAGCGGTTAAATTTGGTGATACAGCAGGTAGTGAAACGGTGGGTTAGACAGGTTGGTAGATTAGGAATCTTTTGGGCTGCCTCCAGACACCGCAGATCTAACTGCCACACACCCTCTTTAAGGTGGCTATACTAAAGTTTAGCAAAGTATACGAGAATGTTTTCTCTAGTGTTACAGTTTTTATTTTTTCAATATACATTTGTGTGTGTGGTTGGGAGGTGGGTTCTCCCAGCCATATTATGTTCTGCTGGGTCAGATCTGTTAGCTCTAGAATAAAAACAGTAATGAGCATACACCTTACCATATGCGGTGTTGAGTGCATTTGTTCCACAGAATTTTTGTCTTATGTCAAACCCATTTTTGACGAGATGGTCAAAGATTATCAATGCTAAAATCTTTTGGAAAAAAGCTGGGGAACACTAGATTCAAATGGTGTGAAAGTATCTCCAAACAACGTTATTTGCAAAGGGAAAAAATATCTTTACAGTGGAGCAATGCTTCCCCCACCTCTCACCACTGCGTGTTAGCTAAGTGTCTAATTTAGTAGGACTAAAAGTAACCGACCACCTGTGTGCCTTCCCTTGTGCATGATAAATATAGAGCATCACCTTTGACAAAGGTGTAAGAATCTAAACATGCCTCAGGAGGTTACAGGGGATAAAGGAGCCAGTTAAACACCATCACAAGGAGAAAACATCAAACCAGAACGTGAGACATTATATAACACAATTAGTTTGGTTTCTCCCAAAATCAGTCATAACAAAACCGTGGAGGAGTGTTCAAGACTGAAAGAGACTCAAGTAATAGAGCACTGAACAAGGTGTGTTGATTGGATCCTGGCTCTATAGATAAAGCTATAAAGGCCATTTTGGAGACAAGTGGGGAAACTTGAATGCAGACCGGATATTGGATTATTTTATGAATTAGTTTTTCTTTACTTTCTTTCTTTTTCTTTCTTTCTTTTTTTTAGGTTTGATAATGTTGAGATTATGTGGAAAATTCCCTTATTCTTAGGAGTTAGATACTGAAATATTCAGGGGTTCAAGCCTCACGATGTCTGCAATCTACTTTTAAATGGCTTAGCAAAAAATGTAGATGCATATAGACACATACACAAAAGTGGTAAATTGTGCTCAGTTATTGAATCTAGGTGCTGGTTATAAAGATAATTGATCAACACACTTTTTATCTTTTTTGTTTGAATATTTTTATAATAAAAAGTGGGGAAAAATAAAACAGGTGACAAAATGTGTTGAAAACGGATCTGTGTCATTAGGAGAGGCTGTCTGAACAGGTGAGTGTAAAGATCTGCCCGGTGCAGAGAGGGGGCAGAAGCAGCAGGGCACTCGGCCCGTGATGTGTGTCAGAAGCATGTGTCTTATTCCCCTTGTGCTGACTCCTTGACCAGAAGTTGGCCAGGGGGCAAGGACATGGAACAGGTCACTTTGGGCCACGTTGGCAAAGAGTGGGACAGCCACCAGAGTAAAGATGAGGGGGGACAGTGAGTAGTTAAATGCCATGGAGATCGGGAAAGATTTCCGAAGAAGGAGGCCCAGCAGTTGCCTGAGTGGGGAAGGCCCCTCCCATCAGCTGAAAACCTGGGGATCAGCCTGCTTACACCAAGTCTTTGGGATATGGTGACCATCCATGCACTTTGTGCTGTGGAGTCACCACATTGGGTTACTGTCACTGTTCAGTCAAGGTCAGGACAGGTGACAGCCCCCTCACGTTGGGCAATAGGAGGAGTGTTTCCTAAAGAAGCCGTTTGCAAACTGAGTGCAAGGTATAGAAACCCCAAGAAATTGTGCCTCACTCCAGGCCTGGTCAGCAGGGCAGCTTATCCCCTACAAGCCTGATGGGGCAAGGAAGGAGGTTAAGAAAGTGGCGTGGAAAGGGGTCCCCCCAGGTGCTGGGGCTTTGAGAGAGGAGTGCAAGCAGCCTGTGGGGGCCCCTGGAGGGGAAACTGGGTAGTAAACACTCACAACACCCATCTCTCTGTTCCTCCCATCTCCTACAGGTGGTTTTCACTGGCTGAACCCAACCAGAGGTGGGGGTCCAGGTGACCATTGGTGGGATCCATACAAGGGAGCCCCACATGGCCTAGGGCCAGGGGGAGAAGGTAGAGCTAAGTCTGGTGGGCCAACTGGAAGATACTCAGTACAGTTATGTTTGAAGTAGGCCATCTCCGTGTTTTCTAAAATGAATGTTCTAGAAAGTTATCTGTTCCTATGACACACTTTCTTTTGAAAGATTTAAAATTCTTTGCCTTGTCCCTGGAAGCAGCTTGTAGGGTTGGTGTCACAGTTCAAACCATTCATAGACCACATAGGACTTTATAAACTATTATAAACAAGTTACTCCATATACCCAGTTCCACAGAATTGAATATTTACTCTCTAAATCTATGAATTTTGAGGTTAGAATGATGTATATGTGGTTGGCATTTGGCTTTCCATGGGAAAAATTGAAACCTGACAAAGTAATCATGTGTTTTAAGTTTAAAAACAAACAAGAAAATGAAAGAGAACACAACAAAACTTTTTAAAAATAGATGTTAATTCAAGGTTGCATTTCAAACTTTTAAAAGATTTTTTAAAGTTTGTATGTATTTTTCACCACAGATAGTTATTTTTATATTCCTTGCTCTATGTGAATTATATAACTTACTTTTTTCCTTCTGTTTTTAGTTTCCCATTGTGTGCCATATTTTTCATAACTTCCTCCAGTTTGTACATTTTTTTAAACATTTTATTCATTTATCTGAGAGAAAGAAAGCACAAGCAGGTGAAGGGGCAGAAGGAGAGGGAGAAGCAGACTCCCTGCTGAATGGGGAGCACAAGGTGGGGCTCCATCCCAGGACCCTGAGATCATGACCTGAGCCCAAGTCAGACACTTAACCAACTGAACCACCCAGGTGGCCCTGCACATGTATTTTAATATGAACAGACTATGTTTCGGACACACTTGCACAGGATTTATTGGTAAGGATTTAGCCGGGCTGCTCACCCACTAGCAAGTCATTGCATAACTTTGGCACTTTGCTGCCTCCAAACAAACAGATCTGTACATTTTGGCTCCATTTCTTAGAAACAAAATCCTTCCTAGGATATACATTTTCCCAGTTACTTTACTTTTTCCATCAAAGCCAAGCTTTTCAATCCACTTTCCCATAGGCCCCAGAATATTTTGGGCCCTTATATAATATGGCAGGGTTTAAACAGCAGACTAGAGCCAGAGTGACTGGCTTAGAATTATGGCTCTAACACTTACGAATTGTGTAATAAGTCACATAAGCTCTCTGTGCCTCAGTGACCTCATCTGTAAGATGGAGATGATGATACCTTCCCAACAGGGTTGTTGGCAAGGTTTTGGAGTCAAACAGACATCGCTTGAATCTTGGCTTCTCTGTTTTCTGGTCTGAGATCTTGGAAAGTGTAACACTTAGAAAGTATAAAAACTAATAAATCTCTACTGTAGTGGTTTGGAGTATTACACAGTGTTTTTGAGAGTTGAGTTCTTATCTCTAAACCTTAGTTTAACCCATGTGAGGGATAGATGGTGATCACCAACAATTTTAAATGAATTTTTTTCTCTTATGTTTTACTTCTAATACCCCAAAGAATTTTCTATTCTCCGAGGGAATAGAGAAAAGGAGAGTTCTGAATCACAATAGGGCTCTTTTATCTCCTACCATGGTCGGGAGAGTGTGGCCACTCTGCGGACAAGCGCACGATCAGCTTAGGTCTCCAGGACACGCAGCACCCGTGGGACCCTCTGTTCTCTGCCTTTCCACCTGCCATTTGCTAATTTGGCAGCACTCACATCATTCAGTGGAATGGCTACCTGGCTTTTCCACCCCCTGGAGGCTTTATTCTCCCCTCTGTGATTTCTGTAGCTCCCCTCTATAGACCAAAGTGAATTCCCCAAACCCTTGTGTTACACACTTCCCAGAGCAGACTTTTCCCTTCTTCTCTTCTAGTTTTTTGGCTGGTCAAATATTTGAACTTCCATAAGACAGAATAACAGAAGCACCACAAATTTCGTACATACAGGAGCCCCATAAAAATAAGATTCCCCGGCAGTCAGGTAATTGAGGTTTATACATGTCATCCTGAGCTAAGGGGAAGGGGGCCGGGATCTGGGGCTTCAAAGGGAAGGAAGACAACTTATAGAAGATGGGAAGAGCAAATGTTTGGTAAATAAATGTTTGCCATGGCATGCAGATAGGTCTTTCAGATACAGAACTTACCTCTGTAATAGGTCAGAATGATTGTTAGGCTTTTTAGCCTCATCATTGATTTTGTTTTAGTTTCTCAACAAGTGCTTAAGCCCTTGGGGGAATGTGCTCAATTCAAACCTCACTCCAATTAATTTCTAAGTAAGAATGCTAATGTATAAAACTAACATGTTTGTGACGTCTAGAGTCGTGTCCTCCAAGAGTGGAGGAGTTTTTACAAGAGCTGTCGAGAGAGATTAAGTGACTTGTCTAAGGTCACCTTGTTGGTTTTTCTGAGGGAAGCCTGTGGTCTTTTTACTAAATGTCTGTTTAGCTGGTAACCACCCATTTGTTTATACATTGTGGTTGAATCAGACTAATTGTAAGGATTTAAAACTTGTGTTTCTCCAAAGCTGATGGTTTTCCTCTTCACTGCTGTGTATGCTACACTGATATTCTTGGTGAGGGACTTGATCATACTGTGATCACAACATTGCAGGCAGGAGACGTTAAGAGGCAAAGGAGTGGGGTCTT